CGGTCACTCACGGCTCCCTGCAGGGATTCCCCCCCTCCCCTGTCCGATCCTCCAATGCTGACTGGCGGAACGGACTGGGGAGGGGGCAGGCACAGCTGGCTCTGCCTCTGGATAGGCAGAGCCAGCTGTCAATCCCGCAGCTGGGTGGATCCATACAGTAATGTCGGGATCCGTCCCGGCTGCGGCATCTCAGTATACCGCGAGCTGTAGCTCGCGGTATACTGAGCTTTGGGTCACGGGAGAACGCTAGTTTGTGTCCTCCCGTTACCCTTAGGAGAACTATGGGGAAAAGCCCTGACCCCATAGTTCTCCTTTAAGTGCAATACCATTGCTAAACTAAAGACACTAAAAATCCTATTAAGCAATGAAAAACTCTGACAGCCACAAAGGTGCCTATCAGAAGCAGATGCATGAAGTGATTTCTAGTTTCACCACAGCTGGAGGGCTGAAGTTTGGCTATGCCTGATTTATGCTATTCGTCAGTGTACAGTTGTTGGAATATCTGTGTTGACCCTTATAAGCACATACTCATGCATGATGTAAATAGTGTTTACTTATTGCTGCTTGTATGATATACTGTGTTGTTGTTGTTATTATACAGGATTTATATAGCGTCAACAGTTTGCGTAGCGCTTTACAACATTGATGTTAAGTTAGTGCATGAATAATAAAATATTCCTTGGTGTAATATAGGCTTATGTAACAGCCATATTAAAAGGAAACCTGTCATGGGATATGCAGACTCCATTTGCTCACCTCTCCTTCTGAAAATGCTAGCTGCCTAGCTGTCATGGCAACGATTTCAGTGTCAGTGACCCAGAACCAATATAGAGATAAGCATTTATCTCTTGACAGGTATCCTCTAAGTTTCACTGGAATAATAGATACCTTACGGTTAGGTGTTAGCTAATGTATTTTATACATTAAAATTAAAAGCTCTTGCCGTCTCTTACAGGATAATTTTAATTGATACTGCCATGATGTTAACTGTGCAGAAATGATAAATCTGAACTCCGGGCAAACTTTTTTAAATAGTCCCCTGTGTGTGTATTGCAGTTCTTGCTGCCATACACACCTCCTTTATGGCACTGCACCGCCCAAAGTAATTTCTTTCCACCACATAGCGTCACTCAGCCCAGAAGATTGAGGACATATTGTGAGTGCACAGCGTTCTGTGCCCATCCCTTGAGAGGGTGTCACCACGGCTTCCTGCACGCAGAGCGTAATGATGGAGAGAGCAGCACTAACGTAATCATGTCAGCACCGCTCTGTGCAGCATTTAGGAATGCCCACCGCCAAAAGAAGATACAAAGAGGTGTGTCACGTGACAAGCCTAAAGAAATCTGAACAATCCAGTATGGAGCCTCAACAGTGGGAAGCACTGGGGAGGAGAAGGGTAGGAGCACTGGATGGTTGAACACAGGTTTTAAACTAATGTATATGCTTATAGCAACCAATCAGGTTTTAACTTAGTGTTTAATACAAAGGTAAACTATAGTACAGACTGAAGAAGGGTTAAAACCTCCATCAGTTTTTTTTCTTTTGCAGTCTGTGTCCCTGTATCTCTATGACTAAGCCCACGATTGGGTGAAACGTGTCAGAGGCGGCAGACCTTGGGTGGGACACCATGTGCTACAAGCTTCAATAAACTATTCCAGAGGAATCCAGCGTGTGGCCAGCTTTTCTTCTGTTTGTCTGCCTGTTTGTCATCAGAAAGTGAAAGGAAATCTAAAATTTTAACCAGATGACGAGGTAAAATCTACCTATAGGGACACTCGTTCAAGTGACAGCTATCAATGGCGGGATTTCCCCTCACTATAGTTAGATTTCTTTTCCCTTCCTGTTGCATTTCCAGGACAGAAAGTAAAGGGAAATTTCCATAGTGGGGATTCAAACCCCTCTGTTTTCTACCCAAACCTAGAAAATAAAAGGATTGACCAACGTTCTACTTTATCCCTTGAAAAATTGTTAAAAAGGTTATTTTTTATAGTATGCAGAAGAATGGCTCATGGTTCTCAGTGTAAGAGTTAACAAGTTGACACTTGAGATATAAAACCTTAAATAACGGTCATTGTGTGAGAACTGCAATATTAGAAAAACAGAAAGGATAAGAGAAACAGAGGAGGGGATGGGATTGTGAAAAGCGGTAGGACTGGTAAGAGGATGGGCTAGGGTCCCCCGTGGGGGTCTCACTGATCAAGCAAAACAAACGACAAACGCACTCAACAATTTGTTACCAGTTATACAGTAAGGTGCACACGAAATGGGCTTTGAACAGTGGTACAGTAGAAAGGCATCATGGCACACTCACAAACCAGCATGTAAAACAACTTGTCTCACCACTAAGGACAATGACAGAGGTTTGGATACACGTCTTCTGCAAAGGATGTGTAAGCCGCACTGCCGCGCCAAGGCACCTCTTATAGTGCGGTCCTAACTCTAAACTATGAGAGTCTCCATCTTGGAGCACATGGGAAGGTCTCACTGATTAGACTGACATTTTCTTGTATAGGATTGCAGAGGTTTCATGTTTTAGAGTCAGATATTAGGATGTGGTAACCCTCTGGATATCCAAAATAAACTCAAGCGGCCCAGGGATTTATCTAGGGACCGTGTGATATGTTTGACCACCTCCTGTAACCAACCTTGGACAGGACCAATCTGATTTCTCATACAGTTTTAATTTTCTGGGAAAATTAAACTTTGTTTTCTATCAAATAAGAATGTCACAAGGTTCCACAAAGACACATGAGGAATTCTTGTGAGACAGTTAAGCAGTAAAGGGTTGGAGGGGTGAAGCAATTGTTAAAGGACCATTAGGTCTTGTCAAGATAGGAGTTCTGAATCCAGCTAATAGCTCGTGTGCTATCGACAAATCCACTGAGCTTACGCTGAAGGAAATGCTCAGACCACTAATTAATTTTGTTGCTATTAAATACAATACGGTATTGTTTTTTTAAGGCCCCCACTGACCTATACCCAGTCTGCATACTTGTTCCATGTTAATGTGCAACAATTAAAGTGCAGAAGTCAAAACCTTTTAGTTTTGAATAGAGTAGGGGAGGGTTCTAAAACCTGTCAGCTTTTTTTGCCATCTTTGTCACATTAGGGAGATTTCGCTTCACTTCCTGTCTGATAGCCACAACAGGACGTGTGTGGAAATCCCTCCAAAGTGAGTACAATCTCTGGTGGTCAACAGGGTCACCAGAACTAGTGCCCCCATTGGAAGATTTTGGGCTTCAGTTGCACTTTAAGCTGGCAGCCTGAAGCCTGCACCATTCCAAACGATTTATACAGTTCTCATTTTTTTAACCTCACAAGTTACCTTTATTGTATGAGGCTCTATGACTCTGGATATGATAATAAAAAAAAAATATTACGAGTAGGGAAAGAAAAGAAAGTTACATGTTATATGTTCGCACACTTTATGGAAAGATTTCATATCTTAACCATTCATTTAACAAAAACTGACAAGTTACTAAAAACAAAATTCACTTTTTTTAAAACAGTGAAACTGTTTATTTCTTATTTGAAAATATTTATCTTCCTTTTGGAACAATATAGATAACAAATACATACAAAATGTTCTAAATAAAACACCTTAACATAGTATTAAACTCTCAAAACTTTTTTCAATAATGAATTCGGATCGAACAAATATATATTGCCCAGGAAAGCATTGCTTTCACTTTTTGCCAAAGAACTTAGTCATTTTTCCAAACAGTTGGCTCCAACTATCTCAGCTTCACTTCCTGTCCAGAACAAGATCACAAGGGACATATTTGCACCAGATTTATGTTGCTAGTGTAATGTTGTTCATGAATGAGATTAAATAGACTCCAGGAAAGAAGAAATGCAACTCCAGGCAAAAAGCTTAAATTCTCGCTTCTTGAAGAAGTGGTCTTCTTAAAGTAACATTAAGGGCAAAAGGCCCCCCCCCCCCCCACACAGTGCTAATGTAAGGACTTACCTTAAATGATGCGATCCGATCCTTAATCCAATCTTTTTCTTTCCTGTAGTTTTTAGCTGTCCTTCCAGCACTGGTGCTCACAGCGTTCTCCTCCCACAGCCCTTAGCCGGCTGTCACTTTCTCTCCTCCCCGCTGGGACACAGAGCAGTGCCCAGCGGGGAGGAAAGAAAGCACAGATGTGTCGCATTTAGCCTAAAGTGCCATTTTCGGCCGATATGTTTCGGCGGCCGATATATCGGTGCATCCCTAGCTAAAACTGTTGCAATCACGTTAAGAAATTCCCCCCCTTGAGTTTAACATCACTTTAAATAAGAAAGATCAACCTCTTCCAGATGATGATGTGTATCTTGCCTCCTAACTCCTCACAGAGGGACATCTAGTCCCTTAAACTACAAAAACAGCGGGCCACTTGCACTAATTATACAAATGGAATAAAACTGACCTCTGTCACCTGTAAAACCTGTGTCCTGCTCATGGAATTATCATTTTATGCTTTTAAACAGATTAAAAATCAAAACAAAGAACCTTGTTTTCCAAACTAAAGACCACACAAGTCCAATATAGGTTTAAAGCGCAACTGAAGGCAGTTTTCATTTTGGATGGAGTGGAGAGGGATTAGAACACCCGTAAGGTTTTGTTTTTTTACTGTCTGTGTCCCCTTTAGGGAGATTCACTTTCTCTATTTGTCCTAGTAACCGTTATTACTGAAAGGGAAAGTAAAAGAAAATCCCAAATGTTGGGTTGTCATGAAAAGATGAATAGATGGGAAATCTTCCAACAGGGACACTAGTTCTGGCGACCCCTCTGACCATCAGATATTTCCTTCTCTTTGGACGGATAGCCTCTCACTTTCTGTTATGGCTATTGGACAGAAAGTGAAGAGAAATCTCCCTAATGGGACACATGGCAAAAATAAAAGCTGCCGGGTTATACGCCTCCCTAAAAAAAAAAAAAAAGAACAGTTTTGGCTTTAGTTTTACGTTAACCTTTATCAAGGTATTACATGAGAAACTTCCCCCTGTAATACTGCAATGTCACACAGGGCACATCTCCTGCCCAATCATCACTTCAGCCCAAGATACATCATCTTTCTTCATTTCCACTAGTTGAATCTCTCTTCCTGGGCACTCCAGATCCACATCTTTAAATGAGGCTTTGTGGAATAAGACAAATTCACTTTCTCCGGAGGTAACCACCAGTCCCCGCCTCTTGCACAGATCGCTAACCTTGAAAGGACTATCGACTGCTAGGAGGCAGGTAAGATGCCCAAGCGGGAAGCTGCAATTTCGGCTGCTGTACGCATGTGTGTAAGTGCGTATTGCTTGGCTGCGGCAATCAGGCAGATGGCGGTAGAAAGCACAGGCCTGTAGGCAGTCAAGTTGGCGGACCAGACGCAAGAGCCTCACCCAGTTCTTCTCTAGGTAGCTCCTATTTATAGCAAGGGCCAAGCAGACTTCTGGAGAATTTTTAATACTACAGGGAAGTTGCAAAGTCCTGTGCATGGCATCCAGATTACCTGTGGTACACAAGAAAGATATATTACAATCAAAATATAAATACCAATTGTGAACAAGTGTACAGATTGAGGACAATTAAAGCAGAACTCCGGGCAAATCAAATCTTAATCTTTGCAGTGGGGCTAACCCCCACACTGGGATAAGTGCTTGTTTTGTCTAGGGAGCTAAAACCAAGGTATACTCACCTCAACAGTGATCCCACTTGCTCTTAGACCAGTCTCTCCAGCCTCGCTCCTCCTCCATTCCAGCCGTCTAAGGTCCTGTGAGTCATCACGTCCTATACAGAGTATAGGATGTGAGGACACAGAGGGACAAACCATCGCTGGAGTGGAGGAGGAGACAGGCTGGAGCCAGCTGGTAACATGGTTCTGGTGAGTATAACTTTATTTTAGCTCCCTAGACAAAACAAGCACTTATGCCTTGTAGTATGGGGGTAGGCCCACTGCAAGGGTTAAGATTTGATTTGCCCAGAGCTCTGCTTCAAGAAGCAATTGAGGCTGCATACACACCGGAGTGTGTCAACAGGTGATTTTTCAGCGTTTTTATTTGTGCATTTTTGCAGACGTATTCAGGCTTGAGCATTTTTGTTTTAGTACTTTTAACGGGAGGACATTTTTAGTTCTAGTATTTTTATTTATCAGGCTTTCTGTATGTGCAAGTAACCTGCATTTGGGAATTGTATTGCATCGCAAGCAGGGGTTCTCAGATCAAACATAGGTTTCCTTTACTCTTAGTATATATTGGGGGGAATTTATCAATACTGGAGCAGAAGAATCTGGAGCAGTTGCCCATGGCAACCAGTCCGCTTTTCTCTTCAGTTTGTTCAGTTAAGCAGGGGTGTCAAACTCAATTTAATCGTGGGCCGCATCAACATTACTGTTGCCCTCAAAAGGTATCTGTAAGACTATATAAAATGTATCTAATCTTTATCATAATTGCCTCTGCATTCGATTATCACTGGTTTTAGTAATAACTTAATACCTAGATCTGAAAGTAGAAATCTAGGAAATGGCCTGGTGGGCCGGATTCGGCCTCTGGGCCTTGAGTTTGACACATGCGAGTTAAGGTTTTAAAATGAATGGTGGATGCTGACTGGTTGCCATGCACAGCTACTCCAGATTTTGTTTGCTCCAGTTTTGATAAATTCCCCTCACAGAGTTTTCTTTACTCTGGTGTAATTTTTGAGCCTCCTACTCCAACTCTTACCAAATAAACATAAAAGAACTCTGGAAGCAGAGGAATATCTCATTTGTAATGTACCAAGCAAATGTAAAGATGGCTGGACAAACAATGCTTGTAAAATGGATTTAGGGGAATAGGACAAAGTGGGATGGACCTGTCCTTCAGACTGCACGAACTAGCTGCTGAAGTTGTGAAAATGTGTTGTCTTTCATTTGGTTTCACTGAGCCTGGGAAGGAATCTGCTTCTTGGGCACAGACCGAATAAAGGTCCTGACTTCTCTCCAAGTCAAAATTTAAGCTAAACTGCAGGCCCAAAATCTCTCATTTAAATATATTCCTCAGTATAAATTCACTTTGTGTGTACTAAAGGCCTTTTCAAGCCCAGTTATTACCTTTGTAAAATCAGCAGTGACATCATCATTGTGCTGTACAAAGCCTGTGCAGAAATCAGAGCTGTACGAGGGACCCAGCCGGTCCAATCATTTCAGGCTGACGGCCTAGGACGCGGGGCTCTTCCTAGGTTTAACCACCTGCTATCTGGCCGTTGTAATTAAACGGTGGCTTTTTGAATGCGAGTGGGCACATGTCCTTTCCCGCCCCGCTAACCGGCGTGCGGGAAATCTGCTTGAAAGGTAAACAACCAGGGATGGCTGTTTACATACAAGCGATCCTGCATCTGTAGAGACGCCCGTTCGCTTGTATTACGCGTGCAGTGTGCAGCTCCCCCCCTCCTCCGCCGATCCAGAGCTCCGCTGTGCCTGGTGCGGGCCGGGACTGGCATAACGGCTCTGTGAACGGAGATCAGAGGGAGATCAGTACACGATCTCCCTCTGAAATCCCCGCTGGGCTTCCGAATGCAGGAAGTGATGTATATTACATCACTTCCGCATTTAGCTGTCATTCCCAGGTACAGGAGCCGAGGAGAAGCAGATTTCTGCGTCATCAGCTTCTCTGGGGGTCCCTAGGTAACATTAGGGGTCTTAGAAACACCCGTCTCCATAAAGAGGACCTGTCACTGTATATTGGCTATTACATAGTCTTGTGATGGCAATAAAGTTAAGTGAAGAAAAAGAAAATTACAAAGAAGAAAAAACATAAAATAAAAGGGTCATATAGCATTTTAAAAAATGTGTCAGGTGCGTCTACATGCGAAAACGACGATTGTGCCACACGTTACATGTCACTGCGAACATAAGAGCATGAGCAATAATTTTAGGGCCATCAAAAACGCTAAACTGATGAGCGGTAAAAGCTTTTCAAGCGTCGCCTAATTTTGGGTGTGGTAGTTTGTAGCGATTTCGCGGGCACGTGCAATTCTAAAGCTTGACGTGTCCCCAAAAAAAAGGTATGGATCTGACCTCCTGCTACTCACTATTGGTCAAAAATATGATGGGTGTTCTCAACTCAGAAAATAGGGTGCTTTTGATTTTGGGGATACCTGGGCACATTCAAACAAGATCTGTAAGTATCTGCTTGTATGTTCCAGAGACAGTTTACTATGAGCACAGGTGCCATCAATACATTGAAAGGTCAGTGAAGCAAGATTACTTTTGGATAATCTGAAATCCTTACCCAAATCATAAAGAAGAAGAAGAGCTTGAAATTCAGCTTGTCTTTGGAATCTTCCACCTCTGCTGTAACATTCCATCAATTCAGCAAAGCTTTCCCGCACCTGTGTTGAATGGAGGGTTTCACAATAATCTTCCAGTGGCAGGTCCCTCACCAGGTAAGGAGCACAAAGCAAGAAGCCAAGGCTTCCTTCAAGGACAGAAGCTCCTTCAGTACCACTTATCCTCTGGACTGTCAAGTCTTGCCTTACTGCTCGGAGCCGGTCAAACACAAAAGGGTAAGCCAAGGACAAAGATTTAGGGTCTTGTTCATTAACTTGCTCCCAGACTTCCATTAACAGGTATTCAACAGTTCTGAGAAGAGTTGCAGGAGGTCGCAGGTCTCTTGGTGAAGACAGTTCTCTCCCTGCAGCAGGGCGACTGTACTCTTTAACAGTCCTACCAGGGTCAGCAAAAGGATGGCTCCCCTGTCTGAAATTTCTTCTCTCAAATTGTCCATTCTGAATTTCTAAGGGATGAAGTCGTCTATGTCGCTCTCGTTCTCTGCGCTCTTGTTCTGAACACATATCGAGGCATAAGCCAACTGGGGGAGGTGGAGACATATTCGTATTTTTGGACTGCAATTCATAGTCATCTGGGGGAACAATAAAAACAAAAACTGCTGACCACATACCTCAATCTGAATTATCAAGAAGGAGACAAAGAAATATAATACCGCCATCCTCCTGCATAACTAAAAAGAAAAAAAGACAAATTTATTTAAGTCAGAAAAATGAATTCTGATTGGCCGTTAAAAGTTACTGTACTTTGCCTTAGTGTAGGGCCTGAAAGTATATAAAGATTTCAGAAGTGCTTCTGAAATCTTTATATACTTTCAGGCCCTACACTGAGGCAAAGTACAGTAACTTTTAACTGACATGGGTGACCCCCTAAAGGGATGTCAACCATGACTCCCTGTACTCTTAGCGTATTAATGCAGAAGATGGCTCTGATGTCCTCCTGTCGGCACCGCTCTCTGCATAATCCAAGATTGCCCACTACTGTAAAAAGAACGAAGAGAAAGGAGGACCCAGCGCATCACATGAGGAGCCAGAAGACATCAGAAAATAGGTGCTATTGAAAATGAATAGCACCACCGTGCCCTAACACATGTAGCATGCATTGTAGTAACATGTGCATCACCATAACACAAAGGTGTAAAGCTAGCCCGATACAAGCACATATCTGTAGAGAAAAAACAGAATAGTTACCTCTCCTGTCTTGGTGACAGGTGTCCTAATCCTTAGGAATCACCCCCTCCCCC